TTTCCTGCATAGATTCTTTCAAAAACAGGTTGAACTACATTTTACAAGTTTCATCAGAAAATATAAAACTTAGAAATTCATATGAAATTTACTTGAAACAAAAACTGAATAAATTTTAGGAGTTGCAGAAAACTAAATTTTATCTCAATCCAAGAAATAAATCAGAAGAATTAACCTGAATGATCACAGAATAAAATAAACTCTTTCAACCTCTGCTCTCTGCTGCCACCTGCTGCTCATCAGAAGCATTCATAGTTTATATCCACCTAATGCTAATTTAATCACTGCTGAGGTTTCAGAGTTCTAGGTCTTTAAGTCAGATGACCTTTGACCTTTGCTCACTGTAGAGGCCTTGAGACCTTCCATCTGATGATCAGAGTCGGCACCGATCAATGAAGAGAAAATTCTGGCTTCTGATTTTTACTCTAAATGAATTCAGCAGCTCAGGTGTTCCCTCACAGGAAGCAGGTGTGGGAACGTGTCAAAGTTCCCTCAAGGCCTCGAGCCGGAGAGGCTGGTGGTTTTAATGGTTTTAATGGTAACTGTCCTCCTTGATGGGTTGTTCAGGTTTAGAGCTTTTAGTTAAAACTGAATTCAACATCTTTTGGTTCCTGTTTTAGCTGCAGACCGGCTTCCTGTCAATTCTAGTTTTTATTTATTCGACAAGGAAAATTTTAAATAAACTCAAGACATGAACGTGTATAAAAATAAAGAGACGACCACCAACAGACAAATGTTTGTCATTAAGGTGTAATTTACTTTAGATCTTTACTTTTCCAATTCAACTTTTCTTTACATCTTCCTTCCAAGCAGCCGCACGTCCCTGAAGCATTTTCTTCAACGTCTCTGAAGGTTTTTAACTTTGATTTACTTTCAGTTCTTGTAAAAGATAAACATCAGAGGAATATTTTGTTTCCAACTTCAACTCGAGATTAAAGCAGATGTGCAGGAACTGGTTTTTACCACTGGGGGCAGCAGCGAGTCGCTTCAATGTGCTGGCAGATGTAAATGGGTCAGAACTGGACTTTGTGCTTCATGACTCAGAACATCGACACGTTTAAAATAAAGACTCGTAGAATCAAGAACATCCTGAACAGTTCGTTTGTTTTTCACAATTCATCCTCAGACGTGATGAAATCAACGGTTTGGAGTTCTCTGGAGAACCGAGCCGTCGTCCAAATATTCTGCTTCACGTTACGTGCATAAGTCTTCAGCCGAGCGTCAAACGTTTTTCTAATAAGCTGCACTCATCACACTTAAAATAAAAATCACCTGCAGAAATTTTTCACCTCGAGACTGTTAGCAAAATATTTTGTAGAGGAACAAGTTATCAGACACGTTGTTGGACGTTCGTCTGCAGCTGATGGAGGCCCAAAACAAGATGGCTGCCACAGCTAATTAAAAGCGTCACTTTTTACAGAAGTTCAGCTGAAAGTAGGTGGTAGTAGCCGAGGGTCATCCGAGTTTTAACCATCGAAGGCGGCGACGTGCATCATCGTCAAAGAACGTTTCTGTAAACGGGAAATTGTTCCAACAAAACGCTTCAAAGAACCAGAAAATAATTTTCTTTATTCAGAATAAAGTGAAAGTTCTGCTGAAGGTTCTCGTCTCAAACATGAAAACGTCTGATCTGAATAATAAAATAAAATAAAACGTCCCTCGTTGGGTCGGAGCAGGAGTTCATTCGGGTCAAACAGAATCATCAGAACTGCCAGAGAGTTCACAGAAACCCAGTGAAGTTGGAGAGATCTGAATATTTACTTCACAAAAACAAAGAAAATAAAGTGATCTGGATTAAACTGTCGTAAAATTAAAAACATGATTAAAACAAAAAGTTCTTCCAGAAACATGTTGCACATTTACACGTTTAATTGTGTAAATAAACTGAAACGACTTCAGACAAAACCCAGAACTTTGGGTTCTTCAACTCCTCGCAGCTGAAGACGTTCTGCGTCACGTCGGGTCTCTGCCGGGTCCAGGTTCAGCACGGACCCGGTCCATCAGAACCACCTTCAGCTGAAGCTCCACGTCAGTTTTCATCGTTCAGGGTTCGTGAAAAATACAAAACTAGAGGTAAAAAAAATTAACTTAAAGTTTTCAGTGAAACTTCAGGGGAGCCGTCGCGCTCCGATTCAATCATTTACACTTTTTTACTCAAAGTACCAAAAATAAATACTTTAAGAGTTGAACCAAAAATATTTGAGAAATAAAACTCAAATCTTTCCCGTAAACAATCAGCTGCTCATTAATAAAGAATAAAACTTTCCTTTATGAAAGGAAAATCTGCTCGAGTCCGGAGTTTCGGCGCCTCGGGCCCGCGGGTCTTCGGCGCCGCTCGTCTACCGTCGCATGTAGAGCTGCAGGAGGCCCGCCTTGTGCAGCTGCTGCCACAGGGTCAGCTCCATGCGCAGGTCGTGGTTGATGAAGAAGCCCACCTGGTGGTACGTGCTGTCGAAGTAGTGGTCCGAGTAGCGTTGGAAGTCGGGCGTCATGAAGCCGTACGCGCTCACCTTCAGCACCGGACAACAAACACAACGTCTCTGAAGACTGAACGTCAAGACGACAACGGCCGACATTTACACGATGTTGATCAGTCGCATGCAGGTCGACAAGAACGACGACGAAATGTTCAGGATGAGAAGAACCGACCCGACGCTCTAAATAAATAAATAAATAAATAAATAAATAAAAGCATGCAATAAAAAAAAAAAAAAGGTACAAAATAAAATGAAGTACCAAAAGATGAAAAAGAAACGTGGTAAACAACAACATGGTAGAATATAACTGCAAGTAGGATGAATTAGTATAAATTAGTTTAGACATTAAATCTGCAGCTCGTCAGTGTCACCGTGGTAACCACACACACCTGTCCCTTTTATGACAGGCAGAAAGGCAGACCTGAAGGTAAACCTCAAACGAACATCTGAACGTTGTGCGGCCGCAGCGCGTCGTCCGGTCAGTTTTTAGGTTTTGACAGTTTCATGTCGGAGGAACAACAAGTTGGAGCTTCAGCCTTCGATTCTGAGCTCAGGTACCAGGAGTGTTTGGGGGCGGGGCTACAGCAGAGACAACTCCCACACTTCCATGAATAAACTGTAGAAGTTTAAAGATCGTGGAAATAAAAGTCTGAACGACTCAAAAGTTAAAGATGTTGAACTTTTCACGCCGACGTGCGTTTGTGTAAAAACAGTTCAGTCCAACTTCCTGTGACCAGTTTAAACTGGTGGTTGTGCTGAGCTGCAGACCCAGTTTAAACTGGTGGTTCTGCTGAGCTGCAGACCCAAACAGGACCGGGTTCAACTCAACTAAATATTGATATTGATTTGGGGGGGTGGGTGGGGGGTGCTGAGGCAGTTTGATGCACGGCTGCTAAAAACCACGTTGTTTCAGAACGATTCGATTTCAAAAGAATGAACGCTGGAACGCTTCATTACTGCGACACGTTCGATATCGGAGCAGTCGCTTCATGTTCGGACCTGCTCCTCCGACAGGAGCAGAAAATCAGGTTTCATCCGTAACTTTTGGAAAACGACGGTTCGACTCCGCTTCTGAACGTCGACGGACGGCGCGGACACGCCCCGCGGCCGACTCTTACCTGGTCGCAGGTGTGCAGAGCAGCCAGCAGCATGGAGGCGCCCGTGGAGGGGCGGTACAGGTCCTTGTATTTGGTGTTCAGAGCGTTCGATCGCAGGAACCTGAGACAAAAGGTTTTTTAGTTTTTAATCAAACTGCAGCTCAGAGGAGAGAAGGCGTCTCACCTGTTCCTCAGGTAACGGATGAAGTCCGGGTGGAACATCTTCAGCTTCTCTGCTGAAACTTTCTGCCCAAAGTACTTCGTTGGACTGCGGGGGGGGGGGGGGGGGATAAAAAAAGTGTTCAGACATCGTCTTCACATACTTTGCTTTAAGACCAACTGGATTTCAGCTGAAGTGTCTCAAAGGTCTCAAACAGACGCTGACGTCACGAGTCTGTGTAAACGGGAAACAACCGGAGCAGGAATTAAAACAACCGGAGCAGGGATTAAAACAACCGGAGCAGGGATTAAAACAACCGGAGCAGGGATTATGTGACAAACTGATCAAACAAAAAGATCAAAGCTGTCAAAACAGCTGAAGAACAAACAGTTCAGGTCTAAAGAACTGAATCGTGTTGAAACGGATCGTTTGATTTGAACCTTTGTTCTTTTATCATTTGCCGTCAGACGAGCTGAAGCTGAAAATAAAACGAGATCAACTGGCAGCAGCTCAGCAACGTGATTCGATCCGAGAGTCAGAATTAGAAGAATTCAGTTCTTCAGGATGGGATCGAATCCGAAAACAGAAAATAAACAAATGATCACAAAGTTCTGGCTGCCGTCTCGGAGCATGTGATGAACCGTCCACACTGAAGTTCATCTTCTGTAAATTCGTTGCTCCTGAACAAGCTGCTCGTCCGGCTTCAGATCATCGTGGCTCTGAGTGAGCGTCACATTCAGCAGCTTCTCAGGGACGACCTGAGAAGCTGCTGAATGTTCCAACAAGACACGTTTCAGCTGAAATGTTCAAGTTTTAATTCTCTGCATTGTCATTTTTATCAAAATCAATAAATCATAATAAAAACATCTTTTAGCTGCAAATAAACAAAAGTTTTATAAAAAGCTTGAAGGCGCCGATCAGAGCGGAGACGTTCCTGAACAAGAGAATTCACTCCGATCGTCTCCGAACGCGTCGGGTTCAAATCTACGAGCTGCTGCAGACGAGACGAGGCGAACCCAACAAAACCACCCCGGGCCCAGGGCGATCCCCCCCCCCCCAGGCGATCCCCCCCGGCCCCCGGGCGAACCCCCCCCCCCCCCCGGGCCCAGGGCGATCCCCCCCCGGGCGATCCCGGGCGAGCTGATGTTCATCAGATCTGAAGCTTGAACAGCTTCAACCTCCACTCGAGCGGCGTCTCAAACGTCCCCGTCACAGCGAACAACTTCCGCCGTGCAGCTTCTGGTCCTGACCCATGAGACCTGCAGCTGAGCCAGCAAGGACCAGTTGACCTGTTCTGCCTGAGTACGGGTTCTGCAGAGCTGCTCCTGCAGCTGTTCCTTACTCTTTGTTGCGCTCCGGTCCTCGCTCCACCTGCGTGTGCGTCGCCGCCGCCTTCATCAGCAGGTAGTCCCGGTCGTGGTCCGGCAGGAAGACGTATCGGGTCTCCTGTGGAGGCAGCAGGGCGCGGTGAGAGCACGTCTTTTACAATTTTTTTAAAACGAGACGGATGTTTCCGTCCTCACCGGGGACACCGGCGGTCCTCTGTACCCGGCGCCGGCGTAGCTCCTCATGGAGTTCATCATGGTGTTTGTGGAGAAGATGTAGTGGGTGGTGCGGGTCCCCACGTCCTCCTCGAAGCCTTTAATGACCGCCCCGTTGGTCCTGAGGGTTCAGCAAACAGAAAGTTAAACAGCTGGCTGAAGTCCTGAACCATCGGGGTTCAGCAGGAACGTCTCCCTGCAGAACCGGGTCAGAACCTGAAGACGTAGTGGTGGCCGTCGATCTCCCTCCCCCTCCTGGATCCCTTCAGGATCCCTCCGTTGCCCACCACGGCGCAGCGGCTGCACTCGGTCCCGTTCCTCCGAGACTCCCAGTCGTCCAACATCTGCAGGTTGGCCGAGCCGTTCAGAACCGACAGAGTTCCTGCCAGAGCTGAGGGGGAGAACAAACATCTGGATTCAATTTAAACCGCTGCATCGCTCAGACGTTTGTGGCTCGACTAAATAACTGACGTGAAACAAAAAATTCCAGAACCGGTCGAAGAAAAAACCTCAACACGTTCTGAGAGAAACCGTCAAGGTGACGAGACTCGTTTCGTTCAGAGCCGGTGGAGCGACAGGTGGAGAGACAGGTGGAGGTGGAGCGACAGGTGGAGCGAACACAACATTCAGTTTATGAAAAACATCTGGGAAAAAAGATGAAAATGAAAAACACGTAGAAAAAGACGCTGAAACAATGAAAGTAGCAGAAATATAAAAATAAAATAGAGCCCGTTCACCGACGCAGATTTCAGGAAAATGTTTAAAGAAATCTGAGCTTTTAAACTTTAAAGTATTTATTTGTAATTAATTTTTATATGAATGTTTCAGTTCTGGGCCCTGAGACGACTTCTGTTGTGACTTGGAGATAAATAAATAAATTGAATTAAATTAAATTGTTCTTTTATTTCCAGACTGAGGTGAAACGTGTGGCTGGAAATAAAAACTTCTTTAACCAGAACCTGAAGGTCAAACTGGACTCGACTGGTTCTTCCCCAGAACCTGAAGGTCAAACTGGACTCGACTGGTTCTTCCCCAGAACCTGAAGGTCAAACTGGACTCGACTGGTTCTTCCCCAGTCAGCTTCTGCTGAACCAACAGATTTAAATGAGATTGTGTGAAAATGGACCCAGTTCATGAGCAGGTTCTGATGAAGACCAGAACCAACGGGGTTTATTGTAGAGTCTGCTGCGTGGAACAGAAGCAGCATCTGAGACGTTTCAAGTTGACGACGGGGTGAAAAGACGACGGGGTGAAAAGACGACGGGGTGAAAAGACGACGGGGTGAAGTTTGAATGTGTGTTTGCTGACGGAGCAGCTCACTCTTGTAGTCCAGGTTCCTCCAGCCGTGCGTTCCCGGGTATTGTCTCAGACGCTCGTACTCCTCTGGACTCACGTGTTTGGCCCCCTGCAGGACGGGGATCCACTCCAGAAACTGGCCCCCGAACCCAGAAGTCTTGATCCGGCTCTGGATGTTGGACAAACAGTTCTGGGGGGGAGGCAGAAGGGTCGGTATGAAAACGCTCAGAGAAACCCGGAGGATCCTCCAGAGCACAAAGACATTCAGGTTTATCGTTACTCTTGATGTGATCAGCTGCTCAGAGCAGACCGCTCACTTCATACGATGTAAAACAAACAAAGATCTTAAAATCTGTTTCTTCCACAAGAACTCCACGGATCAGTTCAGGCTTTCTGACAGTGGATTACTGTTGCTGGAGTTCGTCTGGAATGACCTGGATGATCCACCGAGTCGATAACAGACCAGTTAAACTCATCACTTGTTGGACCCGATTTATTCTGCAGGACGTGTTTCTGCAGCTTCATGGCTCAACTGTTGTGTGGACAAACTATTAACAGTTAATATCTTACCTGTTGCAGATGGGTTTTTAAAAAGACCTCATTTTGGGGAAAGTTCACAGATAGAACACACACACACACACACACACACACACACACACACACACACACACACACACAC